CCTCGCCGCGATCCCCCATTGCGGGCCCTTCCACTCCATCACTCCAGGAGGGAAGGGCGAAGAGGTAGATATTCAAAGCCCACCTGGTTCAGAGCTGGGAGCAGTACCTCTGGGTCTAGGTTGAGTATCAAAAATGTTGCCAAAAGTACCACTGAGGGCAGGGGTTTTCAAATGAGTCACGATCGGCATTTTAACAAAAACGTGATAGATGAAGGGTAGAGAAATCAGAGAGTAGTATCACGTGTATTATAAGTATTGTTTTGTGAAACTTTATGTGCTTTTGTTCCAATTATACATGTATGTATTGGGGGTTGTGGTTAAACTGGTTGGCAGCCACCATGGTCTGGAGCATGCGTGTTTTATTTATTTAACTTTCTTTTGAAAAAAATTCAAAACTACATGTTAACATTACAAGAATAGTACAGTGCGTATTATGGTCATTCCACCTAGATTCCCAAGATGTTCATGCCTTACCATATTTATTTTCCTTCTTGACACATTTCATATTCTTTCTTATGTGGCTATGGGAGCTAGAAGTAGCAGCGTGGCCACTCCCTAGTTTTACATTAAAGAGAACAGTGCATTACAGTTTACATTCTAAAGCACTTGGTTATGTGTTGGACAAGTCAGCAGTTCGAAACCACCAGCCGCTGTTCAGGAGAAGAGGCTTTCTACTACTGTAAAGAGTTACAGTCTCAGAAACTCACAGAGGCAATTCTAGCCTGTCTATAGGTTACTCCATGACTGTGAGTTTTGCTTTGTTTATTTTGATTCATGGAAGGCTGGAGTCCTAACTCCACTTTGAGTCTTGATAGAAGTTCAGTTGCCGTTTGAGTTTATGTGTTACTTCCCCAATGATTAAAATGAGACCCTAACTCACTGCCACTGAGTCAATGTCAACTCACAGTCACAGTACCCTATAGGGCAGGATAGAACTGCCCTATGAGTTTTGAAGACTAACCATGGGAGTAGAAAGTCCTGTCTTTCTCCTGAGGAGCAACTGGTGATTTCGAAATGCTGACCTTGCAGTTAACAGCCCAACATGTAACCACTATGTCACCAGGACTCCTGAGCATTAAACCACAGTGTGGTTATGCGTAGACAAGTGTGAGGCAAGCCCAGGGAGGAACTGTTTGCCTTCAGGAAGGGTATGCTTAAAAGTGGGTTAACTAGTGTGCAGAAAGATGCTCACCCAGAGAACTAGGAAACTAGCCTGGGCATTTACCAAGAGCAGCCATTCAGAGGAATGCTATCGAATTTAAGTTAAAAGTTGGGGGTCCTTGTGGTTATGACTCAGGGTTGCATAATCATGAGTCATCACCTACCACACAGTGATGGAACTCCCCAACCAATCCTGCAACCTCTTTGAACCTGCAATTGTATACGTACCCCAAACATAGTGTTTTTCCTGCTTCTGTAGGCTCAACTGTGACCGTGATGGATTGTATCTGCCACCAATCATGATCTTATGACGATGTCCTCTGTTCTTTATCACATAATGAATCCATTGCTGCGATTTGGTGGGCTCCATCAGCTTTAGCCTGATGGTTTCCGACATCTGGGTGATTTTATTTTGTCTTTGTCCCGTTTAAGGCTTAATAAAAAGGACTTTATAGAATATGTTTGAATCTGGGGTCTTTCCCCCCTAGCCCATTAGTAACCTAACTTTTAGAACTTGTAATTGGCTTGTTTCTGTACATTTATCATCCGTGCCTGCCCTTTAGCTCCTGCATTCCAGACTGGCAGGTGCCTGGTGATCTGTCTCGGTTCAGCTGTCATGGATCCTCCCCTCCCCCCAAAACCTGCAATGTTCCACTTGGTAAGCCAGCCAGCATTTCAGAGAAGAAAGGACTGCAAAGACCATTTCATTCTATTTTAGCTTTTCATTGTGAATTAGGTGAAAGTTTGCAAAGCAGATCATCAACTTTACATTTAACAATTCATATGCAGTTTGTTGCATGTTTCAGATGGCAATTCTCACATTCTAACATCACTTCTTCTTGGGTTTCCTGTTTACATCCCTCCTTTTCTAACCCTTTGAACTTTTTCCTTGGGTAAATGCTGTCCTTTTGATTTTGAGTGGTTGATTATTGTATCAAAGGAGTGAGTTCATTTGCAGACCTGAAGGGTGTCTAAGGGCATAGTTTTGGGTGTCCCACCAATTCCTATCTTATCAGAAAGCTTGCTCTCTTTTATGATTTTTAGTTTTGTTTCACGATTTTCTTGCACTCTATCCAATGTGATCTTTTTTTCAAGAGCAGGTGGTAGTGGTAGCTGGGCACACCCTCCCTCACCTGTTCAACAGGCCCGTCTGGCTGAGCACCTACGTGTACATCACCATTAAGGCAGGATTTTGTTTATAACAATATTTGTCTCTGTTGCCTTGAACTCTTGTGAACCTCCCAATGTCTTACCCTGCTTCAATCATTTTCTGCCGACCTCCTTACTGCATGCTGCCTTTCCCTTCAGCGAAGTTCAGAAGTATCTATCTGGAGCCCTGGTAGTGAGTTATGAGTTGGGCTTTGATCTGCATGGTCAGCAGTTTGAAACTAACGGCAGCTCCAAGGGAGAAACACTGGACTTTCTGCTCCCATAAACAGTGACTGTCTCGGAAGCCCACAGGGGGTCGCTATGAGTCAGCATTGACTCATGGCAGTGGGTTTGGTTTTTCTTCCCATCCACCCCTGGTAGCCATTAAGGACTTTCTTTTAGTGTGAGAACCTTTTCTTGACTTTTCATAATAGTGGTTTCATATAACATTTGTCTTTTTTAATACCCTTTTGCGTTTTTCATATGTAATGTATAGTGTGGTTCTTGATGTCATCCACATCCACACAAGACCTCTTTAAAGACCTGCTCATCTTCACAAGATCTTTTATTATTATTATTATTAATCATTTTATTGGGAGAGGGCTCTTACAAAGCTTATAACAATCATCATTCAATTGTATTAAGCACACTTGTACATATGTTGCCATCAACATTGTCAAAACATTTTCTTTCTACTTGAGCCGTTGGTATCAGCTCCTGTTCCCTCCTCCCTCCCCACCCTCCCACCATCGTGAATCCTTGATCAATTAAGTATTATTATTGTCATTTGGTGTCTTATGTTGTCTGTTGTCTCCCTTCACCCACATTTCTGTTATTTGTCTCCCTCGCTTGGGGGCGGGGGCAGGTGGCAGCTATATATCCAACCTTGTACAAGATCATGAAGAGCAAAGATGTCACTTGGAGGACTAAGCTTCACCTAACCGGAGTCATTTTTCAATCACCTCATATGCACGTGAAAGTTGGATATTGAATAAGGATAATGGGATTGATGCATTTGAATTATAGTACTGATGATTGCCAAAAGAATTTTTTAAAAATCTGTTTGGGAAGAAGTACAGCCAGAATG